ATCGCACTTGAGGGCCACATCCCAGATACAATTTCGGGCACCCAGAGAAGTATCGAAACAGTGCCGAACGAGCATCGCCCCCCAGGGCCCGACACGTGAAAACCCCCTACGGCTTCGGCGCTGCCTTGGCGCTCGACACTCTTTCTGGTGACCAAGGCTGGGGCAGGCTGGAACATCATAGGTGATGACCACCCCCCCACCCCTGCCGCACCACAAGGCGCGCCCGCGGGTCAGGCCTGGGATCGACAAACCTGACGCTGGAAGATGGCCACCAGCCACAGAAAGGAAACAGGGCCGGAGGAGGGGGGGAGGAGAGGGGAGGAGGAGGAGTAGGAGTAGGAGGAGGAGGAGGAGGAGGAGGAGGAGGAGGAGAAGGAGGAGGAGGAGGACGGGGCGACCACACTGCTCTATTCGAAAGGAGTATCCAACCATAGGAGGGTTGGGAAAAAGGAAGGAGGGCCGGTGGTCTGCGGGCTGCGGCCATCGCCGAAACGCCGCGCAGAGTCGTGCCGCGCGCCCGTGCGCCGCGGAAGGCGAGGCCTCGGGACTCCGTCCTCTCCCCCTGCCTGCCAGGGCCAGCGGGCCCCGGGCAGACGCAGCCCGCGGTCAAATCCCAACACGTGAAAGGATGGGGGCCAGCGGCTGGCAAACAGCTCCGACACAGGTGCAAGGATGGAGCACGCTGGCCCCAGCGCCGTGCACGTCCACCGTTTAGCTTACCCCAGCTACAGAAATGGAACGCTGCGGGCCTTCAGAATGCCGCTCTTGCCCTAGTACCGCTACAGTTCGCGCTGAAGGCGAGACGGCTACAGGATGGAGTCTGGTTCGTTTTCAACGTGTCTCTCGCCCGAGACGTCCACGAATGGTAGGACCCGAAGTGCCAGAGGTCGCAACGGTTACACGGATGAGGGGCAGATCCTTTTTTACATGGGCTCTCAGAGATGGCGGGTGGATCCTTTACAACATTGAAACTCGCCTGAATGGCGGGCCCATATGGCGTCCGTCATTCAAAGAGGCATTTCCCCTGGTAATGCATACTTCAGGGGAGGCGCGACAAGGGGACCTGGGAGCGGGACGAAGTATTGCAGCATGTTTGCTGCATCCTGAGTTTACTCTGATCCTCCTCCTGCTCCGCGTCTTCTTCTTTTTCATTCATCTCTGTAAACTCTGAATAACCCCCCCAGTGTCGCACCACCAGATATTTCCGTAGGCTGAGCCAGGCGTTCCGGTTCATGCCTGGGTTAGATTTACTACCCCGAAGCTGGCAGCATCGCAGTGGCTACAAGGATGGAAGCTGGGGATTTCATCCTAGCACCGGCCACATTCGTTTTAACAATTCGCAACGGCTACAAGGACGGAGGGTCGGTGGTTTTGAAAACGCAATCTCGCCTCAGCGATGCGCCCCGATTAATTACGTTGGTGCTCAAACTGGGGTTCGCGCCTCAGCGCCGCGCACGTTTGACTCTCCTTTAAACGCAAGACTCAAAGGAGAGAGCCCATATCTTTTTCAAAATGGCCCTCTCGATTTAGCGATGGGCGCATTCGCTTCATGTTTGTAAGAGTTGTAAGGATTACAATCAAGTCGTACCATAAGGCCACACGATAAGGATGCAAGTGCGTTGGAAGACCGTGCCGACACCACGCGAGCGGGGCGCGGCCAGCAAAAGCGGTCAAGGATGGGCCGAAGTGCACGAAGATGCCGCTCCAACACGATCATCAAAAGTGATGAGGTCTCAAGAGCAACGAAAAACAAAATAGCCGAAAATGCAACAACACGTACACAAATAATCACACAATCGTCCCCGGATTATCCGTCGACTATTTCTGAATACTCCTCCTGTAGAGGGACATGAACCCCGGGGCCCAGAACGGCCCAGCAGGGCCCGGGGGGGACTGCGTTGGAGGCGCAGCCGACCTCGACTCGAAGACGGACAGAACACCCTTCAGCGAAGCGCGCGCAGCGGAGGAGGGGGAGGAGAATGAGGAGGAGGAGGAGGAGGAGGAGGAGGAGGGGGAGGAGGAGGAGGCGGAGAAGGAGGAGGCAGAGGAGGAGTTCGGCGCCCTGGGTCGGTCTCCCGAAGGCCGCCCGTGCATTGCACACGCCCAGCCAACGAACTACCGCCCGGAGAGCAGCGAAAGCTGCGCAGGAAGGGCACAGGGGGTGACCACGTCGCCTGTGAAGACTCGCGGCCCAGCGGTTCCGACATGGTGCGTTGGGAACCAAGGGCATCCCAGCCGGAACAAGTGGCACGGCATACCGAGGAGCACAAGCTCCCCAGCCCTGGGTGGGCACAAAGCCCCTTGGGACTTACGTGGCACAAGCGACCGCCTCCCAAGGAAATGCCGATCCCTGAGGGTCAGATCATAATGAAATGACCGCACAGACGCCGCTACCCGCTTCACCAGCAGGGCCAGGCTGAGACTGGGGCCGTGCTACACCCAACGACGGGAAACCCGCCGATACAGGTTTCGCAACGTCCACCCCAAGCCCCAGAGCCCGCAGTTCCAGAAAAACCGGCCGGTTACACCCCGCCCAACCCGCGAAATAAGTGCCGTGCACAGTGTGCCCCGAGGGTGCTCGGCACTGACACCATGAAAACAGGTGCCAGGCCTCGCCCGCGGGGGGGGGGAGGAGGAGGAGGAGGAGGAGGAGGAGGAGGAGGAGGAGGAGGAGGAGGAGGGAGGAGGAGGAGGAGGAGAGGAGGAGGAGGAGGAGGAGGAGGAGGAGGAGGGGGGGGGAGGAGGAGGAGGAGGAGGGAGGAGGGAGGAGAGGAGGAGGAGGAGGAGGAGGAGGAGGAGGAGGAGGAGGAGGAGGAGGAGGAGGAGGGACGGAACAAACGGGAGGAGGAGGGCCGCCGCTCGTGGCGGAGGCGACGGCGTCTCCGTGCCGCTGCCTCCGCGCAGCGGGCCGGCCCAGCACTGCAGCGGGCCCCCCGACACCCCCCCCCAAACCATGCAGGCAAGACTTATATACATATCCAGTGCGTCTTGAATTTTCGTTTGGAAGAAGCGCCTCAAGGCCGAGGCGCACTGGATATGGATAAAAACCTAGCCTCTACGGTGGGCAAATTTATCCATATACAGTGTGCCTCGGGTTTCTGGGGAAGCGAGCCCGAAACTCCATACTGCAGTGGATATGGACAGAAGTATTGCCCGCAAACCATCCCCCTTGGCGGCGCGCAGGGAGGGAGGGGGCGCCAGTGCGAGACGGGGGATGTGCATCAGGTTCGTGTCGTGCCGACGTCGGCGTGGGTTTCTGACTCCGCGGGGATCGTTGAAGCTGGAACGGTCGGCCGTTTCCGAAACGTCCAAATCGTTCCGCATGCAACGACTCTGGGCCGCCCGCGGCGTTCACAGGTGAACGCCGCTGGCGGGCTCGCCGCCGGCCGACACGACACGAGCCTACCGCATCCAGATCCACCGCCTGTGGGGCAGACGTCCTGGGACCCCGGCGTCCGTCGCCACTGCCTGCCGAGGTCCCCCCGAAGGTCGACCCCCCAGGCGGCCGCTGTGGGAACATCTGGAGTCCCGAAACGTTGCGGTGACAGACCGTGCGGTGACCTCGAAATCCCCCAAGACCTCACCGCACGGTCCGTCACCGCACGGTCTCGGGACCTCGGAGGCCCCTGCCGCCCGAGCCGTCCTCGGAGAACGACCCGAGCCCCAGCACCGTGCGGGGACCCCGAACCCCCACCGACTCACCGCACGGTGTGGTGACCGCCCCGCTTGGGGGCCCCCGAGAACAGGCCCGCCCAGGCCTCGGCGCCCCGGGGGAGCGGCGCGTTGAGCAGGGACCGACCGTCCTGGCAGTCCTACAGTCCCACCACGAAATTTTCTTAGAACCCAAAAATGCTTTAAGAACCAAAACAATGTTCTTAGAGCATGAACCCGATGTGATAAAAAGACGACACCCTCAGCCAGAAGTGTTCTAAGAACTGTTTGTGGAAAACACACATAGTTCTTAGAACATTGTTTGGCAGGGCTTTTGTGAAGGGGCCCCAGGACACACAAATAAATACACACTAATGAAAGGATCCCCCATATTTCCCTCTATTTTCTGGGTATCTGCCTTCCCCCCCCACTGCTCACATTCTCCCATCTTTTCCAGGGAATCGACGACTCATTGTGTCTGTGTGTTTTTTCTCCTCCTCCCACGAGGCGGCGGCGCGGGCGACGTGCGCAGCCCGGGAGGCCCCGATCCCGCGCGGCCGGCGGGAGCCCCCGCGCGCGGCAGGTGCCCTCTCTCGGAGGCCCCCCGCCCGCGCGGCCCGCGCCACCGCACGGGCGGCCGGGGCCTTTGGATCGGCGGTGGACGAACCTCCCTTTAGTAGACCTCCCCTTAGTGACAACGGCCTGAGGCCGAAACCGACGGACATGGACCCGCAAAAACGACGGCCGCGACGCCCTCTCGCGAACCGAAAACGGCCAATTCCTTAATCGACGTGTCAGGGTAGGAGGTCTGTCCACCCCCGATTGGAGGCCCCGGTCGCCCGCGGGAGGTCTGACGAACGAACAACACACACCCATACCCATGGGGGGGGTCGTTGGGAGGAGGGCTGGCCATGGGTATGGATGCGGGCTGTGGGACCCAGGGGAACGCTCCCGCTCGAGCGGGGGCACCCGTCCGACGACACCCACCCATAGCCCTCTCCGACCCCCCTATGGGTATGGGTGTGTGTTGTTGGTTCGTGAAGGTCCTCGGAGAGCGGCCCGCGGCCCGGAGCCGGGCGGAGGGGGCCCCGAAGCCCCACGGACTCGCCGCGCGCGGTGGGGGCCCCCGCACTGCCCCGGGGGGGCCCCCGAGAGGGAGAGGCGGGGGCCGCCCCTCGGAGGGGCCCCGCTGCTCCGGGGCAGCCTGCCCCCGCGGGCCTCGGGGGTCCTCCTGAGCTTGCCATCGCCCGGACACCCACTCCCCGTGCCATGTGTCGGCTTCGCGCGCTGACGTTTTGCAGGATGCTCCAGGATGCTCCTCGATGGTCCTCACCGAGGAAGACTGCGAGGCCGGGGTCGATCCGTCTCCACCGCCTGGGAACCGACGCCCTGGTGCCCCAGCGGACGGTGGAGATGGACACAGGTTGGGCCCCAGGGGCCCGGATGTGTCCACATCAACGGCCTGCCGAGGCCCTCGAAAACTGATCCTCCGGGCGGTGGTCATGTAGAAGTTCCCGCCTCGGAAGAAATGCACATGCCCGAGCGATGCCAAGTGGGAGGAACGCCGCCCGCGCAGAAGCCCACACCCCACCTTTGGAAGACCACCACCCCCTCTCCGCGACCCCCTCTTGTAGAGGCCTCCCAAGTGGGGTCGCAGTAGACGCAGTCGGAGGATCGCGCCGCATCGCCGATGCATCGGGGATGCGTCGGCGACGTCGGCGATGCATAGGCGACGCCAGCGCGGAGAAAATCGGGCTGCACATCGAGCCGCATCGGCGATGCATCGGCGATGCAGCGCTATCCTCCGACCCCATCTACTCCGACCCCATCTAGGAGGCCTAGATCTTGTGCGCGCCGCCACACCATCCCCACCCCCCGGGACCCAAATATCCGACGCCTTCACTTTGTCAATGTAAGGTACCCCAGAAGCGTCACCCCCTTCCCCAAGGCCGGCTCTTCATTCCGAGTCGTTGTGACGGCCCCAGGGCCCGGCGAGTGCCCCCGCAGACCGAACACGGCCAAGCACCTTCTGTCGTGATCTTTGTTGCTCACGACGCGCGCACAGATCTGGGGACGGCCCGCCCGGTCCTTGGCTCTCGCGACCACCGCGCTCTCCTCGCTGTCCTGGGCCCTCTTGGAGGCCTTGCCAGCGCCCCCTCGCTCCCCTCGGTGCGGGGGCGAATGTCGCCGCTCGGCCCTCCACTCGTCCCGGCCCCAGCCGCCCGAGGCCCAGCTGGCGTCGCCCCCGCCGCCGCCCCACCAGTCGGCGCCCCCGCCGCCGCCCCACCTGTCGGGGGAGCAGAAAGGCACCCGCACCGCTGCCCCCCAGCCTCTCCCGGTGCGCTCTGGCCGGAGCTTCGAGGAGAGTGCGGCCGTGGCGACGAGGGCTCTCCAGGACGAGCAGCGCTCGTCATTTCCACCTCCGAACCTGGTAGACTCGACCGTGGCACAAGCGTGCACATGCTCGCGGGTCCGCGCGAGCTCCTCGGGTCGGCGCCGGGTCCCTTCCCTGGCGAGCGGAGCGCGCCGGGGGCGGCGCCGGAGAGGCCGCACCGGTCCGAGAGACCCGCGCGGCCGTTCGGAGGCTTGTGCTTTATGCGGCGGTGGACGAACCTCCCTTTGGTAAACCTTTCCTTATGGAAAACGGCCTGGGACCGAAACCGGCGGGCCTGGGCCCGCAAAAACGACGGCCGCGACGCCCTCTCGCGAGCCGACAACGGCCCATTCCTCGATCGACGTGTCAGGGTATAGGAGGCCTGTCAACCTCCGATGTTTACAGTCATCGGCCTGACCTAAGGAACGATAAATAAGGAACGAAGCCCCTTTCTTTCTCCCAAGGAATAACGCTCAAGGAACGATAGATCACGAATAACGCATCAGGAACTGTAAACAACGAATGCAAGCCTGAGGAACGACCGAGCCCCTTTGGAAAAGCAAGCGTTCCTTATTCCAGCCGCTCACTGTCTGCTGCTCTTTCTGCGCCTCCTCCGTCGGCCACGCAAAAACGACGGCCGCGACGCCCCCTCGCGAGCCGACAACGGCCCACTCCTCAATCGACTGTGTCAGGGGATAGGAGGCCTGTCAACCTCCGATGCTCCTGCTGCTCCTTCTGCACCTCCTCCGTCGGCCAGATACGTTGGGGGGCGGAAAGATACGGATACGTGTTGTCCCCGGACCTCTCTTGGGGTGCGTTCTGACCAGAATTTCGAGGCGAATCCAGCGGTGACAACGAGGATTCCCCAGGAGGACCAGGAAAGGCCGAAAACGAAGGGGGACAACACGTATCCGTATCTTTTTCTCCCCAGAGTATGCTGCTCTTTCTGCGCCTCCTCCGTCGGCCACCAGTCGCCCCTGCCGCCGCCGCTCCACCAGTCGCCGCCTCGGTGGCCGCCGGCGTGCCAGCCCCGGTCGCCCCGCGCCGACGCCCGGCCCGAGCGGGGAGCGTCGGACGCGCTGCTCGCCTCGTCCTCCTCGTCCTCGTCCTCCTCGTCCTCCAGCTCCTCGCCAGGGGGCGACGAGCATGCCCACGAGCCATGCCCTCCCCGCTCTGGACTGGGTCTAGAAGCCGGGCCTGTCCCGCTACGGGAGGAGCATGCAGAACCAGTCACGAAGCATAGTCTGGGGACGATTCTGTGGACTATCTCTGAACATTGGGGGAGACTTGTTTAGGGAATTGGTTCAGTTTTCGCCCAACAATCCGCCTGCAGGAGGACACGCCAGACTTGAGACTGGGCCGGACGATAGGCGATAGTGAAGGGGCCCAGGGACACACAAATGCATACACACAAATACCAGGATCCCCCCTATGTTCCCATATCTTCTGGGCTCTTGTCTCCCCCCCCATCCCCATAGTTTCCCACATTCTCCTGGGAATCGACGATTCATTGTGTCTCTCTCTCTCTCTCTGTGTTTTTTCTCCCCTCCTGAGATGGGAGGGGGGGCAGCAGAGGAGGGCCAGCGAGAAGCCGCCCGCGCGGCGCAGGAGCTTCCCCGGCGCCTGTACCCCGGCGCTTATGGAGGCGCGGAGGGGGCCGGAAGAGGGGCGCCCGCGCCTGCGCCTTTGAGAAGGGGCCCCGGGACACACACATAAGTACACGCAAAGAACAGGACTCCCCACATTTCCCTTAATTTTCCGGGGTTTTGTCTTCCCCCTCCCACTTCCCTTAAGTCGGGCCTGTCCCCCTACAGGGGGATTTTCTACGAAGAATAAAAAAATACCCCAAAAATGCCCCAAAAAGGTCAACTGATATTCAAAAAATAGTCCCCAGACTATTTTTCTATTATTTCTTGATTATTTTGGGTGTATCTTGATTTTTCATCGAAAATCCCCCTGTAGGGGGACACGCCCGACATAACACTTCTCATATTTTCCCATATTTTCCTGGGGATCGACGATGGATTGCGTCTGTGCGTGTTTTCCCCCCCTGAGCCTTCACGGGGGGGGGGGGGGGGGGGACGTGCCGTCGGCCGTGATCTCGGAGAGGACAAGGCGAGAGAGGACACGAGGCCCTTCCGACGGCTGCACTGCCATGGGAGTGCAAAAGGCAGCCTGGAGGAGGAGGAGGAGGGGGGAGGAGGAGGAGGAGGAGGAGGAGGAGGAGGAGGAGGAGGAGAGGAGGAGGAGGAGGAGGAGGAGGAGGAGAGGAGGAGGAGGAGGAGGAGAGGAGGTGGCGCTGGAGGCACCCACACTTGCGCCTTCACAGGGGGGGGCCTCCACCGGGAAACTAGGATCCCAGATCTGGATGCTGGGGGCCGTGCTTCGGGCCCCTGCAAGCAGCCCGAATCTGCACTACAGAGTAGGGGCTCGACCACGAGAGGCCTTCCACAAAACGCCCTGCCCCGAGACCCCAGGACGCGCGTCGACTTCCGGTGTGGGAAACGTCACGCTCGCCATCGCAACATAAAAAACACACCGAGGCAAGCAGGGCGTGTCTTGGCATGGGCCTTCACTGCACTGCCGCCATCACCGAGGTCTGGCTCGCCTTCCCTCGGTGGAGGCAGCAGCCGATGCTGGTGGTGGCGCCAACCTCCGGGCCTCCGAGAGCTCTGGACTCGGGGGCGCCGTCCCCTGGGACGCGCGGCCCCAGGGATGTGCCCCGCGCAGGGGCCTTGCGCGGGCGAGGAGCCTGGCTCGCCCTGAGGCCTGACGCTGCAAGAGGGTTGCAGCACCAAATAGTCTGGGGATGATTCTTTCACTATTTTCACCATTTGTGAATGTTTTGTTCGACTAATTGTTGTTCGCTTTCGTCCAAAAACCGCCTGTGGGAGGACATGCCCGACCTAACCCTAGACCTCTTCTTCTTGTTCTTCTTTCTGCGTCAGGCCCCGAGCTGGATCGATCTGGGAGGGCCCACGGGCCCGACGCATGTGGCGAGAGCGCCCGTGGTGAGAAGCGTGCAACGCCCAGAGCTGAGGGCGCGAGGCTGGTGGCTGTGGATATGCGCGTCCCGCCCGCGACCTCGGCCGGGAGCAGGCCCTCGTCGCACGTCTCCTCGTCCTCCAGGTACGCGAACATCTCCACGGCCGCCGCCGGAATCCACCCCTGGTCTCGGCGGTCCTCCTTGTAGGCCCACAGCCAGCCCGAGACGTGCTCCGAGTCCGCGTCGAGCCACACCAGCTCCGCCTCGCTCACGGGCATCTCCTTGTGCTTCCTGTCCTCGGGCAGGAACGCGCCCCTGCATGGAAAGGGCCCCGCCAGCGGCGCCGCCGGGACCTCCGCCTTCTCTGCCCGGCTGGCGGCCGTCTCGCCGGTGCCGCCCGGCTCCTTCGACACGGGCGCGAACACCAGCTCTCCGGCCTGGGGCACCGACTTGCTGTCTCGGTCGATCAACCGTTTCAGCTCCGCAAGGCGCAGCTCCGTGAGGAGCTCTGTGCCGGGGGCCGGCGCTGGCGTCACCACGGGCTGCTGCGGCTGGGACTGCTGCTGCTGCTGCTCCAGCCAGGCCTGCTGCTGCTGCTGCTGCTGGTACTGCATTGCCCACGCGTTGCAATCAAACTGCTGCACGTCCTCTTGGGGAGACGTAACAATCGGGCTCAGGGGACGCAGGTTGGCCTGACGGAGCCGTCAGGAAAATGACGAGGCCCAATCTGAGAAATGACGCGAGCTCTGGCTGCAAACATCCAACGAGAACGGGACCGTCAAAACTCGGGACGAGCCCGTCACAAAGCGTCGGCTAGCCCGAATTCTGGTGAACTCGACTCTCACGTTTACCCGATCCTCGTACGCGCCAGCGCCGCCCCACCCGCCAGTGATGCCGGCGTGGGAGCCCCAGGACGTCCACGCGGCGTCGCCGCCGTAGGCCGGCTGCACGCCGAAATACACGCAGCCATCCTCCCCACGCGTGCCGTCCTGCATTGGCGGCCGAGATCGGCGGCGTGCAAGAGCGAACCGGGGCAAGGGTGGCCGTTGGTGCCTCATCGTCGACGTCGTCGTCGTCGTTGTCGTCGCCGCCGTCGTTGCCGCCGTCGTCGTGGTCGTCGTCGTCGTCGGCGTCGTCATCGTCGTCGTCTTTGGCGTCGTCGGCTCCAGGGGGCCGCGGGGGAGGGGTCAAATGCAAACGCGCAAGACAATGCTGGCGAGCCCCTGTGGGCTGGCACCCGCGCCAAACCGACACATCCAGCGATGTTTTTTTGTTCATCCACGGTCCCAGAACAAATACCAACCCCCTCCAAAAGGGAAGGCTGTCGCTCCCCATGGCGTCCGGATTCTCCCCCCGAAACGAGCCCCCAGGAGCCGAACTCCAGGGAAAACACATCAGCCGATTGACTGGCTAGGAAAACCACCCATGCAAAGGGCCACTCTCACCTGCTGGGCCCGGCGCCCGGTCTCTTCTGGCGCGGGGGCCAGAGCCGGGCGCGGCACGCCACGACGTCGCGCGGTCTCCCCGGCCGCTCGAGCCAGAGCTGCTCCGGCAATGCGGGGGGGGAAACGGCCCCTGCGGGGTCGGGCTCCTGCTGGCCCGGGCCGCCGGCGCACACCTGGACCAAATAAGGCGTTGCAAGATCTTGCAGGATTCTGCGCGCAGAAGCCCAGGTGAGTGCAACCCCGGCTTTGCAGCGCTCTGGCTGACGTCCGTTTGCAGGCTTCCCGATGGGGTGCGGGCCCATAGATCCCGAGGCCCACGCATTGGAAAGATAGGAAAGCCAGATTTTTGGATGCGAACCTACAGAGTCAGCTCTTGAGTAACGACAGGAAGCGGGGCGTGCGATAAGAAAATGCCCCCCCTGCCTGGGCGAATCGCAGCCGACAGCTGGAGGGCGACGGTCGCGACACAAGCGGCGCCGCTTCAACAGAAGGGGAAAGCAGCGCCTCCGCTACAGCAGGGCGGTTGGGCCACAATGCCTACACACAAGAAAGCAAGACGATGCGTGGGGAAAAGGCGCCTCGGCCGGAGAGCGGTGCCGACCTGGCTGAAAACAGAAACGGGAAGAGGGAGGGAGAAACGGCAGAGACATCCTCCTACGACTACTACTACTACTACTACTACTACTACTACTACTACGACTTCTACTACTACTACGACTACTACTACTACTACCACCACCACCACCACCACCACCACCACCACCACCACCACCACCACTACTACTACTACTACTACTACTACTACTACTTTACTTACTAATACTACTACTACTTACTTACGACTACGACACGACTAACGACACGACTCTACTACTACTACACTACTACTATACCTACTACGACTACCACTACTACTACGTACTACGATACTACTACTACTACTACTATACTACTACTACTACTACTATACTACTACTACAAAATAATACTACTAGGGACTAAACCACTTTTACTTGATCTTACGACATTTTACTACTACTACATACTACTACTACTACTACTACTACTACTACTACTACTACTACTACTACTACTACTACTACTACTACTACTACTACTATTCTAACCACTACTACCACTACTACTACACTACTAGTAAACTACTACCATGTATACTACGACTACTAATAATACTACGACTACTACTACTATTACTACTACTTCTACTACTATATTACTACTACTATATATACTACTACTACTACTACTACTACTAACTACTACTACTACTACTACTACTACTACTACTACTACTACTACTACTACTACTACTACTACTACTACTACTACTACTGCTTTTCGTACTTCCCGCCTACTTCTACACCTACACCTACTCCTACTCCTGAGGCCTCCTGAAGCTTCCTTGGGCCCCCTCGTTTCGTGCTGAAATGCCAGCGCATTCTTTGAGACGCGCCAGGGGGTTCTTATCGGTGTAACCGCCATTGTTGCTGCATCAGCTGTGGCAAACCACCTTGCCGATCCGACTTCGGTCCCCAGTTGTGCCAGCACTATTTCTTATATTGTGGGAGGGCGGGTGGAAATGGGCATGCCATGCTTGACTCGCTCGAGCTGGCTAGCGACTCCTCTTCCTACTCCTACTCCGACTCCGACTCCGACTCCAAATCCTACGTCTACTGCGACTTCTTCCCGTACTCCTGCTACTACTCCTACACCTGCTCCGACTCCTCCTCCTACTCCTGCTTCTACTACTACTGCTCCTACGCCTACTCCGGCTCCGACTCCGACTCCGATTCCTGCCCCTCATCCTCCTATCTATTTTTCTTACTACAAAAAATACTCTTACTCCCCCCTCTGGCCGGCCGAGGGGTTCCATCGGGGCCCTCCCATCCGAACGGTGAAAAATCAATTCGAAGTCATCGTTTTCCTCTCAACATAGCTTCTCCTGTCGTCAACGATGCGAAATGCGTAGCAGGAATCAAACGCGGCGCACATCGCGCGCGGCCGTCAATCCGTGCCCTCCCATCCCAACTGTAAAATTTCATACAAAGTCGTCGTTTTTCTCTCAACATGGCTTTTCTTGTCGTGGACGATGCGAAATGCGCAGCAGGAGTGGGACGCGGCGCACATCGCGCGCGGACGTCTGGGGCAACCCCAAGGGGGAGGGGACATCCGACCTGTCATGAACCATGCAAAGTCGGCATGTCTCTTCTCGGTGGGGATGTTCTTGTCGTCGGCTTTGCGAAATGCGTGGCAGGAAGGGGGCGCGATGCTGATCGCGCGCGACACGGCAAGATGTCGCTCTCGCTTTGGCGCCGCGCGCATGTTTTCTGCAAGTTGCGCTCCCGCTAAGGCGCGGCGCACATTTTTCGCTCGCCAATTCGTCGAGTGCCTAGGGCCCCCTGTGGCCTCCCAGGGTCTCCTGGGACATCCTGGGGCTTGCCGGGGCTTCCAGAGGCCTCGTGGATCCTCCTGGAGCCTCCTGAAGCCTCCTGAGGCTTCCTGGGACTCCCTGGGGGCTTCCTGGCACTCCCTAGAAGGCTTCCTGAAGCCTCCTGGGACTACCTGGGGCTTCCGGGGCCCTCCTGAAGCCTTCTGGGGCTTCCTGGGGGTCGCTGGGGCTTCTCCTGAGACCTCCTGGGGCCTCCTGAGGCTTCCCGGGGCCTCCTCGGCTCGTGCTGAAATGTCAGCGCAATATTTGAGACGCGCCAAGGATTTCTCATCGGTGTAACCGCCATCGCGGCTGCATCAGCTGTGGCAAACCACCTTGCCGATCTGATTTCGGTCCCCAGTTGCGCCAGCACTGCTTCTTATGTTGTGGGAAGGCGGGTGGGGATGGGCATGCCGTGCTTGACTCGCTCGAGTTGGATAGCTCGACTCCTACTCCTACTCCTACCCTTCCTCCTAATCCTCCTCCGCCTCCTCCGCCTCCTCCTCCTCCGGCTCCTCCTCCTCCTCCTCCTCCTCCTCCTCCTCCTCCTCCTCCTCCTCCTCCTCCCCATCCGAAGTCGTTTCTTGACGGCCCCGGGGCCCTGGAGGACGCACAGAGGCCGAGAGTGGCGGCAAACTGGCCTCCTGTTATTTGTTTCGAGACGCCAAATGTCTCAGGTTATGACCGGCCTGGGCCGATGATCCTCAGTACGTGTGTTGGCGCCCCTTGCCGTCGCTCGGACGTCCATGTAGCGTGCATGTTTCGGTTCCGTGCGTTTTTGTTGTTGCTCGAGGAGCCCAGGTGCTCTTCGATGGCCCCCGCCGAGAACAGAGGCAGCACTCGTCCGAGCGATGCCCAGGCCGACGTGCGCTCGCCCACCGAAGCCCTGCCGCTCGGCGCACGCGCAGCAGGAGGGGGCTGGCGCGGGGCTGCGTGTGCCTGCCCCCCCCCCTGGGGAGCCAGCACGCCCAGACTATAAAAAAGGCTGCCTCGGCGGAGATCTGGGGCCGGACCTGAGGATGACCTCGCCTTCGAGGGCGGCCAAGGGGGGGGGGGCGTCCAAGAGGAGGGGGCGCAGATCATGGCCGGCGGCACGTGCGCGGCCCCCAGGGGGGGGGGGGGGGGGGGCAGGGAACGCACTGAGGCGAGAGGAGGCGCCGCGAAGCCGGGGGAGAGCATGGCCCTCGCCATGACATCCACTCCCCCCCCCTAGTCATCGCCCCCCTCTTTGCCGCCCCCGACGACTGGAGGGCGGGGTGGCGGGGAGGTGTGGCGACGAGCGTTCCTCCGGGGGAGGGCTCGGAGAGGCAGCTCCAGGGAGGTCTTCGCCAGAACGGGTGAGGGCGCTTCAGCCCAATGAGGGTGCCACTTCACCGGATCAGGCCAGATTGGCCGGATTGAGCCGGATGAAGCGGGATTACTCCGAATGAGGCTGGATCAGCCCAGGTTAAGCCGATGATCGACCGCGAAAAGACGTCCCAGCAGTTGCATCCTGGGGAAATGTCCTCACGCCAGGAGCCGAGATCGCGATGGATGAGGGTTGGTACGCCCGAAGTGGGTACGGAAAAGCGGGTACGATGCACAACAGCAAACGTTGTCCAAAACCGACGGCGGCCGCTGTTTGGAAGGCGACCTCTTGTTTCAAAGGGACAACGTCCGCGGCGACGCCGACGGCGAGTCCTGTTCGGAATGGGCAAGAATTCGCGTCGGTCTTCGTCCTCACTCTCTCCGTGCTCGTTTCGATCGCACAACACCTGAGTCGAGATGGCCATGCGGACAGCTCGTGTCGGGACGGCCCTGGCGCAGGTCTCCGAAACCCCGCGCATCCTTCAACCTTGAACCATCGGCGGCCTTCCAGATCGCCAGGGCGCTCCATCTTGGCCGCTTCTGGGCCACTGGCGGCGTTCAACCTTGAACGCCCGCGGATGATGGGGAGACAAAAAGGTGCCGATGCCGCTGCCCCCTGGACCTCTCCCGGGGTGCGCTCTGACCAGGACTTCGACGCGAATCCGGCGGTGGCGACGACGGAGGCCCAGGAGGCCCAAGAAAGGGAAACCGAGGCGAAGGTAGAGATTTGGACAACCGAAATGGGTAC